AAGCAGACCTACATAATTAGGTCTTCTATGAGCAAAGCTGTGTAATTATGATATTTTGTCTTAGATTAATACAAAGTGTTTGTGTGAGGTTTCTCCCGGTGAACCAGTTTCCCCCGATAGTACAAAGACGTGCATTAATTGTTGACTTTAAATTGGACAAAGGTAAAGATGTGAATGGTTGTCTGTCTGTTCTCTGATGGACTGGTGATCTGTACACTGCATCCTGCCCTACGACAGCTGATGGGATAGATGGAATTTGTGTTTTTGCATAACTAACCACCCTTTACTCTTCTGTAAATAGTACGTGCTTTATTTAATTTTTTCTGTGCTTCTTAATCTATTATTCTATTTTATTTATTTATTTATTTTATTTATTTGTGTGTAGTGAACCCGAAAAGTAAGAACCTCATTGCTCAACATACCCACAGTTATTTGTAGTGTATATGACAATAAAATTCTCGGTTCTTCGTTCTTTTGTATCAGGAGCCCAGGATTTTAATACGCTGCCTATCAGGCAGTTGAGCATCACTCATGCAATAAGTGGAAACTGTTCTACAACTTTCTTGTTTTCATGCGTCTCACATTCTGTTGCGTTATGAAAGCTGTAAATTAACTGTTGGGAAATAACTTTATGCTCCATTTGACTTGTTTGTGTCAGTTGCAAAAAAGCAAACATATTGCGAGAGACTTTCCGGTCAAATAAAACAGGATTTAATAACAAAAGTCCCTAAAGCATGGTGAGTATATCTAAACAAATAAAAGAACTACACTGGAATTGATAGTAGCTTAGCATAAAAAATTACCGCTTCATTGTGACTTGTGTCAGATGAGAGTAGGAGGTCCACGTAATCTTCTAGACCGGGGATATCACAGAGACTACTGAGACTTTGAGGTGATCGGTTTCCCAGTCGGTTTAGGCCATCCAGAACAGAGACCTGCGGCAGTGACTGCAAAACAATCTCCCTGTAACCTGCAGTAAGATAGGAACGCAGGTGTATCAGAGAAACCTGTCGAGGCTAGAACTGCCTGATTGCCATGAGCCTCTTATTCAGTAATGTCACATCAGTGGTGCATATGACCTTCATGAAAGATCAAATAATTACGTCTGAATGAATAACCTTTGTGCGTCACCTTCACATGCACTATTGATGTACCCTATTTAATAGGTAGTGAGCACAACTTATGCAAGTACATCTACGCATACAGACAGCAAGAGTTGCATGAGTGCCTTCTCGTATTTAACAACATGAAAAGAGACGCCTTCAACAACTAGTGCTGTGAATTAATCATTAACTGAAAGATATGGATAATGGGTGCAAAGGATCACTGAAAAGCTTTTTACATTAATTTAACTGCAGCCAATCCAATTAATGAAGAAGCCAAATATAAGATAAACATAGAGATTAAAAGATCACAGTCATTACTAATAGCGGCTGTCAGTTTGACTGATATTCACTGGACTTTCATTACAGGGGGAGTTTTAAATCAGTCATTCTGCAAAATTGGAAAAAATATCCTCTAAAACTGCTGTTAATAGCTGATATGCTGGGTGCTATTATTAAAGTTTGATCCAACTGCAGTTGGAAAATATGAATTAAATTGTTTATCTTATACATATATATAT